GGGACTCGATCCAGGGACTCCAGGATCATGACCTGAGTTGAAGGCAGTCGCCCAACCAACTGAGCCACCCAGGCGCCCCTCCATCATAGATTCTTTAGGATATTACAGAAATGTATATTAACTCCTACTAATTAATACCAATTCATATTTCTGTCCTGAACTAATGACCTGAAATCTGATTTTTGTTGAAGGAGATAAATATATAGTGTATCTGAAACATTGCAATAAAACCCAATTTATTAGCTAACATCCCAGAACTAATATATCCAAATATATCATCCCCTTCCAAGTTATCATTTTAAAGTCATATCTTTTTCCTGAGCTATTGCTCAGAATGTTTTAAGAATACTTCTTTTGAATTGCTTTTATCCTTCATGGTGCCAAATTTGGTCCTTTGAGGGTGGTTTCAGCTTTTGGAAACAGGCAAAAGTTTAGAACCATTTCTGCTTGTAAGACCAATGAATGAACTTTAGTTTTCATCTATGAAGTATACCTACCCCCCTTTTTTTCCTTTTTAAAAAAAGAATGAATACTCTTAAACTAACTTTTACATATCATATGAGCATTCTGCTCTAACTTTATAGGACAGAAAATAGCAGATGTATACAAAAGGAGAGGGAGAGAGAGCGGGTATAATGAACCCCTCTGTTAATTTTATTGCACTCCTCTGTGACCAGAGTTTGCAAAACAGCCCTAGACCAAGGTCTGCATCCATGCCGCCTGCGAATGTCAGCACCATGACACGTAAACTTCTCATTCGTCAGTGGCTATTGTTCCAGTTTTAGAAAGCCTGTGTAGCCTCCAGCTGTTCCATTGTCTCAACATTTATTATCCCATAACCTTCTTCCCTGGATGTGGGTAAAGAGAAAAGAGGAGAGAACTATGTTATTCTGTGCTCCATTCTACCTCCTCTGACAATATGATTAAAATATAAAAAATCTTTAGTCAGTTAACAGTTTAAAACTGTTTTTAAAATTATCTTCTTAAATATTTCAAGGCTAAGATATTCTATGACATATAATGAGATAACTGCGTATACAGTATTTTAAATAGTCACAAAAACAAATTTAGGATTTTTCCCAAGTTTACTATTGATAGAGATTTTACTAGTGATAGTTATATTTATCAGTTACTATTTATCACCATTGTTTTTAAAATTATATATAGAACGAAGGAGCAGTGCATCCTTATAAGTGGTATTTTTGTTAATCTTATGAAGACCTTTAAGTGATCTTCCCCCAAAGCCATATTTTAAAAGTTTAAAAAATATTTTCACCTAATTCTTAAGCTCTAGGGGGAAAAAAAAACAAACAACCCTGGCATTTACCCAAAAAGGAGCACCTCGATCAGTTTTTGGTTAACCTTTTAAACTGCTTAGCTATTTTCATTTGTAATATTCTATTTAAATGAAAAAAGTCTTTGTGTCCCTTTTGGGCAAAATTTCAGTTCTTACTCAATGGTTATAATGCATTTTAATGAAATATGGAAGTGATGTGTTTTCTATTTTGATTGGCATTGGTTCAGACCAATTTTTGTAGGATTTGGTAACTTTTAAAAAGCCTTTTTCTTGCAGTTAGCTTTGAGACAGCATGAATTTTGTAATCTCTTAGAGTGTCAGATTAACTCTGGACCATACATTCTCAAAGTGGTGGTAGAAACATATTTCATAACTTAAATCTATCTGTCTCTTCTAGGAAGCTATGTTCATTAGAGTAGAAAGGCTAATGTTGAGTATAAATTAGGAAACTTGGAGAACTTTTAGTATTCAATATGAATACTAAGTAAGTATTAAGTCTGTCATTTAACTGTGATTGTACTATAGTTAGAAAAGTTTTTTAAATGAATACTTAGAAATGTATTATTATCTCAAGAAACCTACTTAAGACAAAAATTATCATCCCCCAGAAAAACTAGATTTAAGTAGAGCTTTGCTGTTTTCTTCTTTATTTTGTTTTGGTTTTTAAACTGAAAATACAGTGAGCCAGGTTTGTCCTTCTAATACCTCAGTCATCTTCTGGTTGTAGGACTTGTATTTAAAGACATGCAGTAACTGTCTCAGGCATGGTATAGGGTACAGGAAAATCTCTTATCTGGAATATTGTGCTTAATTAAAATTTTTGCACTGGTATACTAGAGCCAGCTCCCACTGGTATGCTAGAGTGATTATTAAATTTTCAGGGTTTTTGTGAGCTGGTTGTAAAAAGAGCCATTGTTAAAAATTAAATATGTATAAAGAAACACATATATATTTAACAAATGAGTTATGTTAAAAACAATAAATACTCAAAACTCATCACTTCTCATAATTTTATCTATGCTCGTGAGGTTATTTACATCTCTTTTCTCTGTATGGTGTGCTACTTATTCTGTATGTCTTCTTATCACCACCTTCCGTGAGGTCACACTGACAGCTTGAAATTGGCCATGGTGAAAGTATTTACATCATGTAAATTGATAAACACGTCAGGGCCTTTTTCCCCCAGAGAGCACTTGAAAAGCCTCCCTAATTTAGCCTTTGATAAAAACCTTTCAAAAATGCACGGGGGCATTTTTCTACCTTAACTGTATAGAGCATGCTGAATATTATTGTTCCAAATGCTGAAGATCTTTGATACCTAAGACTTCAGTGCTCAAAATAATCATCTTAAATATTAGCGAAGTCACTTCTTATGACATGTAAAAAGAAGTATGTTATTTCCAGGTCAATTTTATATAAAAGATCAAGTTGTAAATTGCTTATATATACTTGTCATATTTTGTTTCATTGCAGCCGCCACTGGTGACATGCCGACTTACCAGATCCGAGCTCCTACTACTGCTTTGCCTCAGGGAGTAGTGATGGCTGCCTCGCCAGGAAGCTTGCACAGTCCCCAGCAACTGGCCGAAGAAGCAACACGCAAACGAGAGCTGAGGCTAATGAAAAACAGGTAGGCTATTTCTCCGGAAACCAGTAGCCACCTATCGGACACATAACTTATTGCTGTGGGGCCTTTAAAAAAATTCCTTTTCCTAAGTTACATGTTCTGTGGCATTTTGGGGTTTGTGCTCTGCATGTGATGATAATTAGATTGTCTTGTCATCAGAGTCCCTAGCCGGGAAACCATTTCATCAGTGGGAGTCACATCCCTATGTGTGGTAAGGGTAACGTCTAAAAGATACATTAATTTTCTTAATGATGATGCAAGGGCTTTATTACAAATAAAGATTTATTTTTTACTTGGCATTTACTTTGTGAAGTAGGTGATAAGTGTAATTTTTTTGTTTCTTTATGAGCAAAATAAATTTAAGTGTGAGTAAAGAATTTCTAAGCCTCTTAGGGGTGCCTGGCAGGCTTAGTTGGTAGAGCATGTAACTCTTGATCTTAGGGTCTGTGGGTTCAATCCCTGTGTTAGGGGTAGAGTTTATGCAAATAAATAAATAAATAGAATTTTCTAAGCCTTTTATATGTAGTTTTCTTTTATCTACTTTGTAACTTTGGTTTTTTTCTATTATACTGAAATGCATATTAATTCTGATAAATTTTGGTCAAGCGCAAATACAAAGCACCAGAAAGAAACAAAATTACTTAGAGCCCCATCACTTAGAGATACCTAACTAATATTATAACATATGTACTTCCAGTTCACACGCTCATTTTCTCACTCTTGTACCATGTTTCTGTAATTTTATTTTTTAAACAGGAGTATGTCATAAAAATGCTGTTTTCCAAAATTCTTTAATTTGACTTCTATATTATTTCTTGGTTTAGTTTTTATGATGGAAAATGGTGCAAGTTAATCTGATTTTCAAAATGAATAGAGTAGTCCAAGAGTTCTCCCAGTCGTCTGGTCACCTTATTCCTACGTATTAAATCATGTCCTCATTGTAAGAAAACAAAGCATTTCAGATGACATCATGTGCTCACCTCTGACCAGGAGCACCTGGTGGTGGTTTGTTTAGTAACATTACCACTTAGTTAGTCTAGAAATTGTGGCTTCTGAGCCACTACAATTCAGAAATAAGTACTGACTTCCTAACAGTCCTTTGTAACTGAATGTGAACCAGTAGCAGCTATATTCAGTTTACTAACATCTCTTTATTTTTTTAAATTTTATTTTATTATGTTATGTTAGTCATCATACCTTACGTCATTAGTTTTTGATGTAGTGTTCCATGATTCATTGTTTGCGTATAACACCCAGTGCTCCATTCAATCCATGCCCTTCTTAATACTCACCAGGCTAACCCATCCTTCCACGCCCCCCCTAAAATCCTCAGTTTGTTTCTCAGAGTCCATAGTCTCTCATGGTTTGTCTCCCCTTCCGATCCCCCCCCCTTCATTTTTCCCTTCCTGCTATCTTTTTTTTTTTTTTTTAACATATAATGTATTATTTGTTTCAGAGGTACAGGTCTGTGATTCAACAGTCTTGCACAATTCACAGCACTCACCATAGCACATACCCTCCCCAATGTCCATTACCCAGCCACCCCATCCCTCCCACACCCCCACCACTCCAGGAACCCTCAGTTTGTTTCCTGAGATTAAGAATTCCTCATATCAGTGAGGTCATATGACACATGTCTTTCTCTGACTGACTTATTTCGCTCAGCATAATACCCTCTAGTTCCATCCACATTGTTGCAAATGGCAAGATTTTGGGGTGTTTTTTTGATGGCTGCATAATATTCCATTGTATGTATATATACCACATCTTCTTTATCCATTCATTACTAAAATCCCTTTAAATGTCATATTTTGAGGGCGCCTGGGTGGCTCAGTCGTTAAGCGTCTGCCTTCGGCTCAGGTCCTGATCCCGGGGTCCTGGGATCGAGCCCCACATCAGTCTCCCTGCTCAGCGGGGAGCCTGCTTCTCCCTCTTCCTCTGCCTGCAGCTCTCCCTGCTTGTGCGCTCTCTCTATCAAATAAACAAAATATAAATAAATAAATAAATGTCACATTTGATATAATATAGGACTCCTCAAGTTGGCTTTAGTTCCCAAACATTGTAGATATCGCAGATCACTAGATGGAGTTTTGTACCCTGGAAAATGCAACAGATTACCAGAGCTAGAATCATGTAGATATACATGTCTTTATCAGTGGTTGTTCCAGGTTAACTAAGTCATGCTGGATTCCTATTTTTTGTTGTCAGCACTTTGCTCAGAAATCCTGAAGGGGCTGAATGGGTGGGGCTCATGGTTGTTTTATGGAAGTCTTGCTATCAAAGATCTCTAACTTAGATCTGGTGGAGGAATATGGATATTTTTTTATTTTTTATTTTTTTAAAAAATTTTATTTATTTATTTGACAGAGAGAGACACAGCGAGAGAGGGAACATAAGCAGGGCGAGTGGGAGAGGGAGAAGCAGGCTTCCTGCTGAGCAAGGAGCCTGATGCGGGGCTCGATCCCAGGACCCTGGAATCATGACCTGAGCCAAAGGCAGGCACTTAACGACTGAGCCACCCAGATGCCCCGGAATATGGATATTTTAAAACTGTCCTTTCAGAGATCTCAGGGAGCTATGAAAACGATTGCTTCTGTGGTCACAGAATTTACATTGTGAAGTTCAGTTTAGAAATACAAAGTGTGGTGATGCAAACTGTAAAATTGTTCATTGATATCTTACTTTCCTAAAGAAAATAAAAGACCTAGAAAGTAGCGTTCTTATTTCCTTTTTGTCATTATTCTGTACCTTTATTTTTAGATTAAAAAATGTTGTCAGTAGAACTATCAATGAAATAGTGAAATATTAGGCAGTGGGTTCCTCTAAACATGCCCCACAACTACCTACCACGTACATAAGAAATTTCCCTGAGGAAAATAGTCATGAAATTTTAGGTTTTAAAAAAATAATTAGCTAATGACAGCTATTGGATAGCATTTATGTTTGGGCTGTAAATAACCAAGGGAAATGGAGCCTTCACCCCACAGGTGTTATTTTGATCTTATGTGGCTGGTCCAGAGGTATGTGCAGCCAGAACAAAGGCTCGGCAGTGTCATCAAGGATCCAGGCTTCTCCTCCTTGCTCTATCAGCTTTAGCAGGTGACATTTGTTCTTAGGATCACAACATGGCTGCCACGTCCCTAGGCGTAGCATCCGGCAGGAAGAAGGGAGAAGGGCCAGAGCCAAAAACTAGGGCTGCTGAGTCTAACTCTTCCGAAAACTTCTCCTGGAAAACCCTCGCAGCATCTTTCACCCACATTTCCTTGGCTAAAAATAGCTAATAGAGTCCCTACCTGCAAGGGATTCTGAGAAGGGTCTATGTTAGCTTTCCAGATCTCAATTTCAGAGCAGGACTAGGGAAGAGCAAATGATAAATGGCTAATAGGTGGCTCAGTTGAGCAAGTACCATATGCAGGTTTTAAGTGCTTTGTTTCTACTGTTTAACTCTCACATAATTTGCATGTGAGATCAGGTCTGTTTATTATCCTTACTTTCCAGAAGAGGGACTGAGGTTCAGAGTGGTTAAGTAATGAGTTGGTTAAGATCATGCAACCCACACTAGACAGAACCTGGATATGCAATCAGGCAGTCTTTCTTCCAGAGCCTGCCCACAGCACTACACCAGAGTCACCTCAAAAAGACCTCAGAGTAAGCTTCAGATTTAACTTCATGGAAAGTATGTAGGTTTTACTTATTAACATGAAAGACCTCTCAGACATTCCCTTTTTATTCTTTGGCTGGCATTTATGATAGATCTGATAGATATTTCTCCCAGTGCAGCGACAGTTTACATTTCTTTACAGCCTTGTCAACATTTCCTCTTTGCTGTGTATTTCCTCTCCATGCTGAGGATATATCCAGACAAATGCAAGGCCTGAAAACTGAGCTATTAATAGAAGAAACAGGTGTTTTCCATAGCTGGGAAGTACTTAGGAATGTACCATCTACTGGTGTGATCATTTAAAGCTTTGTGCTTGGAACATTTTGACCGGTAACCTGTACCATTCCTGCATGAGATATGAATTATGATATTTACAATAAATAGTACACCTTGGTAAAGAAAATTAAAAAATACATAACCACAGCTCTGCTATTAGATATGTAAATTTTCATTTAATGATAACTTGTTTTATAAAGTGATTATCTTCCTTCCAGATCTAGAATTTAATATAATGATTCAATCATGAACACCTTGGTATTCATAAGTGTATTTTAGTTCCTTTGTAGAAGAGTTGCAAATTTTATGAGCTTGGATTTATTCTCAACTTTTCCCTATGCATCATTTAGATTAAATCAATCTGTATTTATCAGATTCAGTTTACTTCTTACATTTTTTTATTTTCTTGTTAACTAGTTGAGAAGTCTGAGAACCTTGTGAGTTCACAGGGTGAGTGCATTGTTCTTGGCTAGGAAGTAGGGGTTGATCTTTTCCTGCAGTTCACTGGGATTTCAAGGTCTTTTTTCTGCTGACACTTGGTCCCATGGAGAAAAAAACAGATAACCAGTTGTTAGTGAGTCAACTATCCTAAAAATAAAACAGAATTGGCCAAATCTGTTATACACATCACTCCTGGTTCCGAATTGCAGCAGTGCTAGCTAGCATTACAGTAAACATTGGTGTTTAGACATCCCACACGACTCTTGTTAATATATGTTTGAGTTATCTCTTTCACCGTAGACTTTTTTGATAATGAAGTGTACCCCAAAGGCAGTTATTTTCAGTTGACTCCTCCAAAAGAACACTGTTATCAGAGGATACATTGTATAGAGGACTTAAATGATATAGTTGCCACCCCTTCCCACCCTGAAAAAAAGGAGAAAGAGAAAAATGTTGGCTCTATTAATTATTTTTTGGTGGGGTTATGCATGAAAATGACTGATTCATCTGTGTATTTGTGTTTGTTGCTTTGGCTGGTCTGTTCATCCTTTGGGCATGCCTGCAGCACTTTAAAGATCAGTATATTGGGTAGTGACTGCACGTGATTGGAAAACAGTCTTGAAATACACTTTTGGGTTATATAGTAGCTTTCTTTCCAAAGTGTTAATATCGGTGCTCTCACTTCGTGGGTTTAAATTGTCTGAATTATTGAGTGTTGGATTCTGTACCCTTCCTTCCTCCCTTCCTTAATTTTCAGAAGCAGAGTCCATTTCATTTTGATTTATGAAAATGTGTGTGACTTGCTTACTGTTGTCTTTATCCATGTTGTTTTCTAGCCAATAACCTGCTTCTTGCAGTCACGGTCGAGCTTATTTGTTTTACTGATGAGATTCAGTCTTGAAGAAACAAAATCTCCAATATTGACATTTCAAATTTCTGAGGATTAATTTTTCCAATATTTCTGACCAAATAAAGTTGACGCATTGTGACGGAATATGTGGCTTTTGGTGGGCAAAAATAATTAAGAGAATTGAAAGGATCTGTAAAAGTTTTTGTAGAAATTCCACTTGGGGATGTGGTCCTATTGTTTTAGGTTACTGAAAACCATTCTGGTCACTGTTATCATGGCATGTGTGCCCTAAGAAAACAGCATTTACAACGAACGATGGACACATTGATCGTGCTCTCAAGTTGTTCCTGTTGTTTGAAAGTAATCTTACAAAAGGCATGTGCTTGGTTACATTTGTTGCGTGGCTTTGTACAAACCTTACCTAGGATTGATTGGCTGTTGAGTTTGGGGGGCAGAAGTTCATTTGAGCCAGTCTGGATGGTGTTGGGAGGTTGTTCCTGTAGTCATTTGCCTTGTGTTGGTTCCAGGGAAGCTGCCCGGGAGTGTCGCAGGAAGAAGAAAGAATATGTCAAATGTCTTGAAAATCGTGTGGCTGTGCTTGAAAACCAAAACAAGACTCTCATTGAGGAACTCAAGGCCCTCAAAGATCTTTATTGCCATAAAGCAGAATAACTGTCTTTGACTTGGACCTTGTTTATTATGAACTCTAATCAAGGCAGGAGATGCAGCAATTCTACTAATTGCCATGTGGACTTGTGGAAGGGACACTTGTGACCCTTAAGAATCCAGTTTGGCTTAGTGTTTGACATTGAATTGGGACTGTTCCAAGATTTGGAATGCAGCCATGATCACATTTACCAAGCTTACTTCAGTCTGCTTGTCAATAGCATGCAAAAAAAAAAAAAAAATGTTTTGTTTGCCCTTTTGCTTCTACTTTTTTTCAGGGAAGCTGCTAAAGAATGTCGACGTCGAAAGAAAGAATATGTAAAATGTCTGGAGAGTCGAGTTGCAGTGCTGGAAGTTCAGAACAAGAAGCTCATAGAGGAACTTGAAACTTTGAAAGACATTTGCTCTCCTAAAACAGATTAGTAGAAATATTTAACTATGAACTGATTACCACATGTACAGTTGCTTTTGAAGGCAATACAATATATAGCCAGCAAGAATTATGGCTTTTTTCCTTTGTAACATTCATCGTATTCTCTAACCTCTGACATTCCTAAAATGCTTCACTGTACGTAGTTAACTCTTAGCTGTAACTTCAATTTTTTAAAAAAGAGACAAGCTGTAAAAAAAAAAAAATGTATGTAACAAATTCTTAAAATGCAATATTTGTAAGACTTGCTCCATTGCCACATATTTGCAGTTCCCAACCTCTGTGTCATGAATAGTGTCCTATGCAATACAATTTTTTGCAGGTCTTTAAAAATCATTTTAGGAAAGGATGATCAGAGATAATGCATCCAGCAGTACAATAAAAGCAAACCACAAAAAAATACCTCAGGAAAGAATTGAAAGAAAGAATCGAAAGAATCTAATGACATGCCTATATGAAAATAAGAACCTATAAATGAATTTATGGCATTTGCAGATTTTTATGTTAGTTGCTTTATAAAGAAAATATTGTATTGCTGTCCTTGAATGCCATAGTTGAAGAGAGTTTTTAATAGAACCATGTTGGTTACACTTTGTAGTGTTTGGTGCTCATTTAACTATCTGAACATTTACTACAGTTTTTACTCTATTGTGTAATATAAAAGATCTTGCAGAAGTTCTTAGTGTCGGTTTGCATGAATGAACCTAATGAAAGTTATGACAAATTTTTAATATCAGGAATGTGTTAAAAGTAAAAGTTAAAATTGTATTTGCATCCCTTCAAGGGTACGCGAGCCAATTTCTACACCGGTTTATGCTCTCTGCAAATACTCTTTCCTCCATCTCGTCAGAAGTATGGCCCCAGAGCTGTTACGCAGAAGAGCAGCTACAAAAGATTCAGGTCATGTGATGATGGACAAGGCCTTTCTGCAGATGGGCCCCTGTTTTGAGTTTTAGTTAACAGCCCTAGGAGTTTTAAAGTAAAAACAAAAACAACCCAAGATTTTATTTTCCATTTCAAAATAGCTTGAAGTCTACATCAGATCAAAGATTTTTATGTCAGCACATTCAGATGAAGTCCATTACATCGAGACAGCAGTGTTCTTACTGGTATTTACATTTCATTCTGTTTTTATAATAAAAAGCTTTAAGATATAAGCCCGAAGCCCTGATCATAAGATGCTCTGTCATCTCTCATTCACTCCTGAGACATTTGTTGAACGCCTGCCATGTGCTAGACTCTGTGATATCTTCTCTTATACCTTCTGATTTGTTAAGGATGCCCCCCCAACCCCTACTTTCAGTAGTGAAACCTGGTCAGTGTGTTAGAGAGGTACAAAAACAGGAGGTCATTGATTGGTATGGTGTCTAACTGCTGTTCCCCCCATGTCATAATTCTTTCCCTTATAACTCCCAGAAGGTAGGCCATGCCATTTTTGGCTTTCTTTAGAAGGACTCACCTTCCTTCAGAGTCTGAGCTCTGAATTTCTTTTATCTCAATTTTTGTCTTTTCTTCTACAGAGAAGTAAGATGAGGAAAGAAGACAAGGAAGAAAAGAGGAAAGGAAAATTCCATGTTTCAGGTGAAGGAAAATGGTGCTTTATACTCAGTCACTGTAAATCAAATGTGTGCTCAGTGTGGTAGAGTTGAGAGGGAGACACAAGGATCAGCAGACAAGATGTAAAAAAGTTAGAGACAGTAAATGCCATATGTTAGAATTAGAGACAGATGTAGGCAGGGATTAAATAAGAAACTGTTCCTGGAGGAGGCAGATTTTGAACTGGGCCTTGAGGTAAGCGATAGTGGTGGGGAGGAGGGTATTCTGGATGGGGAATACAGAGCATGCGCTCTTCTCCAAGGAGCTTGACTTCAGGAGATGAATTTAGGAGAACGTTAGTACTCACAGGAGAGTTTAGTTTGTAAGAGAGGGAGTGTGCATGCGTTCGTGTGTGCTCTGCTCTATAAAATAGGTTTATGTTATTTCAGAGGAAGGGGATTACATCTGATTCCTTGGGGTCACAGAAAGCAGATGTCTCCCCACTCTCCAGTTGTTTAAACAATAAGGAAATTTCGTTCCCTCACAAAACAAGAAGCCCAGAGGTAGGACATCCCAGGGTTGCTTAATTTAGTGACTTCACAATGGCATCGCGACGAGATTCTTGCTACGCATTTTGCTCTGGAATATTAGTGAAGATTCTCCCCTGGGACAGAGGGTTTCAGGCTTCTGTGAACATTTGGCATCAACGTGGGATCAAACGGGTTCTGGTAGAACGGCGGGTAGGCAGCCGACGTCGTGGGCTGTGAGGGTGATGCGAGAGCGCCTCCGCTGTCCCGGAAGTGGGGAGGCGCTTGTAAGAGGCGGCGCTTGAGCCGTGCTCTCTAAGGCCTATGGCAACTTAATTCTTGCGCCTCCAATTTGTCCCTGAAACAAAAACTTTTGCTACTAAAAACAGCACGGTTTGCTAGCTCTCCATTCAGCCTTAAGCAGTGCTGCCCACAACCTCTCGCTACCCAGCCAGCAGTGAGCTGGAAGCTGTACGAACGTTGTCCATCTCGCAGAACAGTGTTGCCCAGAATCCAGAGCTGTCACGGCCTTCGCGTTGTTTCTTTTCTCCTAAAGTCTTCAGAATCTGGACTTACAGATGTAGAAATTACCGACCCTGAATCATGGGATTATACCACCTTGTCAGATTTAACTAGGGAGTTCATGATGTTAAATCATTTGAAATGGGAAAATAAAGAAAATGAACTTCTGCCGTGTTTTTAAATGTGTTTGAGTGCTAGGCTTGCCCGAAACAGGACATTTCGCATCAGCAACCACATTTCTCAGTTTTCTTCAGATATTCTTCTTAATGTCCAGTATAGTCTGTTTCCTGGGTGCCTAAACTACACTTTTTTTTTTTTTAAATGAGGACTTGTGAAACCAACACACTGTTTTTCTAGTCTAGAACCAAAAATAAATGAAGCAGTTTGGCCCTGTGTGGGACAAGCCGAGCTGCTGCCAACTGGCTAGCCATGATGCACTGACTTTCTTATGTTTTAGCATGTGCCAAGGTCTTCAGGAACTTAATGTGGCTCACGTTTTCTAGGGTCATCCTAAAGACACAGGCCTGATTTTGAACTACTCCAGCATGGTATATTTCAATATTTATCCTTTGTGTATAACTTATTTCTATATACATCCATCTTATCATAGCTACACTTCATATTTATACATTTTAGAATTCCAAATGTATTTTTAGTGCAAAGCATTTTTAACGCAGTATTGTTTGTTCTTCAAAGATCCATTTTGCCATTTGGTACTGTGTGATAGCTTACTTACAATGAGATTTAACATATTTCTTTTCCGGAGGGGTGGGGCACCTGGGTGGCTCAGTCGGTTAAACATCTGCCTTCAGCTCAGGTCATGACCCCGGAGTCCCAGGATCACCCCTGTCAGGCTCCTTAGAGAGTCTGCTTCTCCCTCTCCCTCTGTCCCACCCCCCCCACCCCCCCACCCCCCACTCATGCTCTCTCTCTCTCTCTGTGTGTGTGTGTCTCAGATAAATAAAATCTTTAAGAAAAAAAAAAGATATTTCTCTTCAGGGCCATCCTCTTTACACACTCACACATAATTCCATCAGGGATGGGAAATGATGAGTAAAAGGAGAAAACTAACCTTACTATACCTTTGTTATACTTGTACTTGCTCAAATAAAATGCAACCCTTGTTATTTCCAAGCCAGTCTTAATTTTCAAAAGGATGCTAAATTTTTTCAGATTTCTTTCTTTATTAGAAAAATATTTGGGAAAACACCATGGAAAAGCTGAGCCAGCATGGGTTATTTGGACTAACACACACACACACACACACACACACACACATGCTTCCTTGACTCTTTGTTCCTTCTTTTAATTCCAGTCTTTGCCTTCCCGGGGCAATAGAATGGAGTCAGCGAAAGCCCTCCTCTAAATCTGCAGTAGGAATTCCTTTGGTTCCTTTGTGCAGAAACCAGTCAAAACCTGAAATAATCCTGAACCTTCCCTCTCTCCCAGCTCCCATGGCTTCTGCCCATACCCTTCCAGTTGGGGGTGTGCACGGGCAAGACAACAGCCACGGGCGCTCAGACGCTCCGAAGGGCACGTGAGGCTGGGCTTTCAGCCCCCCAGCTCTCATGAGGGGAAGGTGTAAACTTGATTTTATGTTACAAATTGTCTTTTTTACTTTTCAAAAATTAGCATGTTAATATTTTTTAATATAGGTAACACATACTTGAGGTTCAAAATTCAAAAGATACAAAGGCATATTGTGAAAAGTCAGTTTCCTGTCCGAAGCCACCTCCTGGGAGGGCAGCCACGGCTACCAGTTTCTTTTGTGTGAAGGAGATCCCTTTAATTCATTGATCATGCCACCTGCTTCCTTACGTTACTATCCCATCTTCAGAGCTGTGTGATCTGGAATTTCTGGAAAGAGATACAGGGAGTCAGGATGTTCATTCATTCCTTCAAGTCAACAAGTGAGGTTGCATTAGTAAGAATAAGTCCAGAAGGAGAGAGGACGAGCAGCTGTGGCAGCATCGTGACTTCATGGATGTTCTCCAGTTTCATGCTAAGTTCTATGGATGCTATAACCATGCAGCTGTAATCAAAACTCATTGCCACCATGTATTGAGTGCTTAGTGGGCCAGCACCCAACAATGTGCCATATAGGGCTTATCATATTTAATTCTCATAACCCAACAAGTGTTGGTGCTTTTATTATCATCCCCATTGGCAGATGAAGAAACAGGCTTGGAGACAAGGACAAGTAACTTGCCCAAGGTCACATAGCTGGTAGAGATCAGGACAAAGAGCAGAACCAGGCAAGGGGGAGGATGCCTCTCTCCTGGGGCTCTGACCTAACTTCAACCAAAGGCTGGAAAGGGACCAAGAGAAGTGCATGCTGGTTGAGCAGGTGGTGGCCTGCTGAAAGAGAGTTCTGTGGCTCCAAGTGGTTAGATCTAGGAATTTCCAAACCTGTCCTTTTCTTTTTTTTTAAAGATTTTATTTATTTGAGAGAGAATGAGAGATAGAGAGCACGAGAGGGAAGAGGGTCAGAGGGAGAAGCAGACTCCCCGCTGAGCAGGGAGCCTGATGCGGGACTCGATCCCAGGACTCCAGGATCACGACCTGAGCCGAAGGCAGTCGCCTAACCAACTGAGCCACCCAGGTGCCCCTAAACCTGTCCTTTTCTTATGAGCAGAAGCATGTATTAGTTTCTCTCTGGTTTCCAAAATCCCTGATGCTGTTCAGGAGAAAATGACTCTGGTTTTCAAAAGGAAAAGAGAAATGACCCAAATAAATAAAATCATGAATGAAAGAGGAGAGATCACAACCAACACCAAAGAAATATGAACAATTATAAGAATATACTATGAGCAACTATATGCCAGCAAATTAGGCAATCTGCAAGAAATGGATGCATTCCTAGAGATGTATCAACTACCAAAACTGAACCAGGAGGAAATAGAAAACCTGAACAGACCTATAACCACTAAGGAAATTAAAGGAGTAATCAAAAATCTCCCCAAAAAAAGCCCAGGCCCAGATGGCTTCCCAGGGGAATTCTACCAAACTTTTAAAGAAGAATTAATACCTATTCTTCTGAAACTGTTCCAAAAAATATAAATGGAAGGAAAACTTCCAAATTCATTTTATGAGACCACCATTACCTTGATCCCCGAACCAGACAAAGACCCCATCAAAACGGAGAATTACAGACCAATATCCTTGATGAACATGGATGCAAAAATTCTCACCAAAATACTAGCCAATAGGATCCAACAGTACATTAAAAGGATTATTCACCACAACCAAGTGGGATTTATTCCTGGGCTGCAAGGTTGGTTCAACGTTCACAAATCAATCAATGTGA